CAGTCATGAATTCAATCCCTGCATTGTGCTCCATGCTGGGCGTGGAGCACACTTGGGGGTGGGGGTGGGGTAAGGATCCTGTCTCCCTTTCCCTGAGATTTAACTGTCAGCATTCTAAAAACTAGGAATCTATTATCCAATATACTGAATTTTAATTGATCTTCATTTTCAAACTATAACTGGTATCTCAGTCTGAAGACCTATTTTAAATTCTCAAGAGTAATTCTCCTTCCATGGTAAGAGTATAGTAGTTAAGAGAATAGCTAGGTTACTACTATATATATATATATTTTAAGATTTTATTCATTTACTTGACAGCACAAGCAGGTGGGAGCAGCAGGCAGAGGGAGAAGCAGGCTCCCCGTTGAGCAAGGAGCCCGATGTGGGACTCCATCCCAGGACCCTGGGATCATGACCTGAGCTTAAGGCAGACTCTCAGCCGACTGAGCCACCCAGGCATCCCTACTGATTTCTATTTTTAAAAATATGTCATTTGAGTTTTAGGAGGAAGCTAGCATTAAAGCATTTGTGGTACTCATCATGTTTAATCAGAAGCCCCTGCAGCATAATGTGTAATTGGAAACAACTTACACATCAAATAGGTAACTGGTATGTAAAATATGGTAACCCTATTCAATGGCCTATCTTTAGCCATTCAAAATATTTACATAAAACTTTAAGAGCTGTGATTATCAGTTTTAAAAAGCTGAATATTGGGCGCCTGGGTGGCTCCGTTGGTTAAGCGACTGCCTTCGGCTCAGGTCATGATCCAGGAATCCCTGGATCGAGTCCCGCATCAGGCTCTCTGCTCAGCAGAGTCTGCTTCTCCCTCTGACCCTCCCCCTCTCATGTGCTCTCTCTTTCTGTCTCAATAAAAAAAAAATCTTTAAAAAAAAAAAAAGCTGAATATTGATAATTATATAGGATTACCTTAGTTGCATTAAAACAGTACATTAAAGAAGAGAATACTCCAGAATATTAAGTCTAGGAGGTAGTAGGATTAGGACTTTTTTTGGGACTTATTTTTAAGTTCCCTGAATGAGCATATTTTTATCACACACACACATACAAATGCTTTTAAAAATAAAGAAGTATAGTGGATAGAAAACCCAAATTCTCAATCTAATAACATCAGTCATCAGGTTACTTTTGGGCAAGTAAAGACCTCATTTTTTTGTATCTGTAATTTGAAGGGCTGCAGAATTTTCAGGCCAATTTTAGTATTATAATGGAGGCCAAGACCCAAAATTTGAGAATTAAATAAAAGGTTAAGGAAGCAAACTATTCAGGAAGCACCATTTTGTTCAGTGTGACAGAAAGTAGGGAAAAGAGAAAATAAAAGCATGAACAGTTTAATGGAAAAAGGCATTGGAATAAAGAACTGCTGGATGATGAAAAAATCATCTAAGAACCATGGAAATAAAGAATATAAGGAAGTTTGTCTGGGAGGAGAAGCTCCTCAAAGGCCCAGTGAAGAAAGTATTAATCTACTCAATTGAGAGAGTTGGGGATAGAAGGTTGGTACAGCAACTTGGGCACATTAAAAGGATTACCACTTAGGGCCCCGTTTTTGGCTGCAATCCCTACATGGATGTCTTCCAACATAGCACTCCTTTCCCTTCCTCTCCTGCCCTCCTCAGGTTTACAGCCTTGATCTTTTACTACATTTTGCCTTTTCTTTCTTCCTTTCATAGTCTATTATATCTTCTCCTTCTAATTATTACCCTAATCTAGATATAATTTCCTTGTTTCAGTCATTCCTTATTTCTACTTCAGTTCCAATGAGTAGGTGCCCCTTACCTATCCATATCCTGCCCCCAAAGTCACCCTACTTTCTCAATGCTTTCATTCATGTAACAACCCTCCCTCAACCTAAATTCCATTGTAGATCCTCATCAACTTACAATGGAGTTACATACCAATAAAACAATAGTAAGCTGAAAATACCATAAACTGAAAATGCACTTAATATTACCTAGTATCACAGCTTAGTTTAGCCTATTTTTTAAAAGATTTTATTTATTTGAATGAGAGAGTGAGCACAAGCAGGTGCAGAGGGAGAGGGAGAAGCAGACTCCCCACTGAGCAGGGAGCCTGAGGCAGGGCTTGATCCCAGAACCCCGGGATCACACTGAGTCGAAGGCAGATGCTTAATCAACTGAGCCACCCTCGCAGGCACCCCAGTTAGGCCTATTTTAAACGTGCTCAAAACACATTAGCATACAGTTGGGTAAAATCTCTAACACAAAGCCTATTCTATAATAAAGTGCTGAATGTATCATGTAATTTATTGAATACTGTATTGAAAGTGAAAAACAGGATGGCTATGTGTACAGAATCGTTTTATCATTATTTACCCTGTATCACGTGGCTAACTGGGAGCTGCAGCTCACTGCTACTGCCCAGCATCACAAGAGACTACCATACTGCAAACTACTAAGCCAGAAAAAGATAATAATTCAAAATTTGAAGTATGGTTTCTAAAGAATGCAAATTGCTTTTGCACCATCATAAGGTAAAAAAAAAAAAATTGTAAATTAAACCACTGAAAGTCAGGGACTATCTGTACTAAATGAAGGTTAGGGATAAAAATAGGGAGTGAAGAGATACTACGTATAATTGATGGAACAGAAATGTAATTAATATAGGTGTTACAAAGCCTAGAGGTAACCTAAAAAGGAAAACCAGAAACATTTAAAAGCTACTTTCTCAATGGATTAGTACTACAGGTAGGAAGAGGACTACAGATTTCCCATTATGAACTCTTCACTACTTCTCGTTGTTAAAAATGCATGTTTATCATTTGGAAAACATATTTTTTAAAGGAAAATCAACCATGCTAATAATCACTTCAGCAGACTATAATCCTGAATTCGTTTTTTGTTTTTCTAAATAAACTCTATGTCCAATATGGGGCTTGAACTCACGACCCCAAGATCAAGAGTCACATACTCTACCTACTGAACCAGCTAGGTGCCCCACATTTGTTCCTTTATAAAAATTTTGCCTTTTGATTTTACCTTAATGTCATGCATCTTAGTAAGGTTAACCTGAAATGAGCTACCCTCATAGAAACAGAAGTATGACATTATTCAATTATGAACTGAAGTATCTGTAGTGGAATAAAATATTAAAATAAAAATATTAAAACAAATGGAATAAAATAGTTTTTAGGGCCAATTAGATTTTGTGGTTTAAAAAATCATCTTCTATGGGCTCCATAAACCAAGAACACTGCTATTTATTCTATTATTACAAAAACAGAAAATAGTATGTTTGGTACATGTAAAGCAACTTCAACAGAAGTCATGGAACCTTAAATACAGTTGAAGCTAGTTTACCAAAATATTCTGTTCAATTCATACCATTGATTTGACTGGTTTGGGTACACTTTCCTTGAAGACCTTACTCCCACCTGAACTGGTTTTCCTTTTCATGCTTGCAAATGATCCCTTCATATTTCCTATTTTTAAGGAAAACAAGAATAGCATTAAAACGTCTTAAAACGCTACCTAGTGGGCACATATAAACTAATATGATGGGGTTTCTACAACAAAAACCCTGTGACTCTAGGTATCCAAGTCATTTAATTTTCTCTATTAAAAAAAAAGTGAGCCTGGAAGCTCCCCCTTTTCCCTTAAAATTATACAATTCTATAAATATTGTTAGGAGATACCAGTGCAATGTCAATGCCATTACTCTTGCTCCTCAATATTGCTCAGGACACAAGGTCATTCATCTAATATAATGCAAATAATAATGCGCATAAAAAGGAATATATGTACTTCACATATTAAAAATGAACTGAGGAATAAATACAATAATTAAAGAGCTGTATGTTAGTTGTGAGTGAAAAGGCACTACTAGTTGCCCTTAACTCAAGTTAGGCAAACTCTGTACATGCAGCAAAGCTTTTATGCTGTAAATGAGAAACAAAGTATTAGGTATATTAACTCTGTTAAATATACTTTGGGTTTCTCAAATGTCTAAGTTTCATAGTATTTGTCTTATTTTACCTATATTAATAAAAGGCTCTATAAATATTGTACACTGAGTATTTAAACAGCTTGGCCTTTTTGACTTTGGTTCTATATCTTATTAAAAGGTACTTTACAATGCGGAGATTAGAATACAGTTGTGCTTTAATGTCTTTTTACTGAAATGGGGTAAAATGAACATTACAACATGAACGCACGGATAGTATATTACTGTAGGACATACTCCTAAGAGGTATTAGAGAATTCATGTTATCTCACTGAAAATCTTTAATTCTTTGATGACTGAAACAAAACTTATACCAAGTGTTTACTACCCTATAAATCTGACCATCCTTTGCTAGGGGTTGGTATGAGAGCTCACTTGAATTCCATATGTTATTCTTGATTTAATATGTAAAGATCCAGCTTGCTCCATGAAAAGAGCACTTCATACTGGTATTCCCGTCAGGAGCAATTCCATCTCCAGGCTACAGAAAAATCATAGGTCGGCTGAAAGCTGGTTATGAATGCCCTAGAGACATAAAGTAACAATCAGTTTTGCCATGTAAAAAAACTAGTACAAACCCTAACCAATATAGCCTCTTTCAATTATCAGTATTAGAGGCAGGGGATAATCCAAGAATAGTAACCCAGGACTTTCTGAAACAATTCAAGAGTCTTTTCCATGGGAACAGGCACCCTCCTTTCCAGAATTATTTGTGTGCATAGATGAAAACAGAATAAACATTACCTTCAGTATCAATTCTCTGGATTACTCTAAATTTTGGATTAGGACCTAGCCAAATAATGTTCTATTTTCAAATAAATAACTTTAAACAGTTTCAACACATTTTAAAATTCAAAGATCTAATATAATTTATCCCATTTATCATCATATGCTCATTACTATGAACCTTGTCTAGGAGACAGATCTACTTGCTTCTTTTTCTTGCTCAAAGTAATGTGGAAGTTTAACCGCCTACCTAGATGAGTACCCAGAAAGAAGATATAAACCATTTTCAGGGGAAAACATGCATGCATTTATTTTTAAGAATTCCCAGTAAGGGGGGGAAAAAAAATTCAACATCTTTAAAAATGTGTTTATTTTTTAAAAAATCAGTTGTGTACAAAAGTGTTTCGTAGTTTTTAATTCTCAAGACAAATACCCAACCCTCCACCCATAGCCCGCCCCGCTTCAATGGTCTTTCTGGTAACCCTCCCATTTTCCCCTTACAGGAAGTTAATGGCTCAGAATAGACCCTCCTACAGAATTTATCATCACTAACAGATTGTTTAGAATAGAGATCTAGAGAAGCTAACAAGCAAGGTTCTTTCTCAGTGAGGTTAATGAGAATCCCTATAATGGCAGTAGACTTCCAGCAGACACCACAACAAAGCACCATCAATTGCTGAAAGCTAAAAAATAGATTATTATTTTCAATAGTATTTCATTTTCTATTGGAAAAGTCTTTAAATTACATTAAATAAGTCTCTTCCCCCCCAAAGAAATAGTCTAGCTTTTATTATGATGCCTGTAAAAAGTAGGTAACAGCAAGCAAACAAGGATCGTTTAACAGCACAGTGCAATGATTTGTATTCACTCATCCCTAGAACCAAACTGATAAACTGTGCCACACCTGATTATATATATAGCAGCATGGTTGAAATAACCAAGCAAAAGGTGACACATTCACAACTTACATTTAGGTGACGATCACAGGCTTATGAGGGTAGATCAGTCCAATAAAGCAGTAAGAGAACAAACAGGACAAGGGAGAGACTAACATTCCCCTATCCCTATGCCACAAGATTTTTGATCCATATTGCAACAGTGCAAACAGAACATGTGACATTATATGTTAGACACTGCAGAAAAGTAACATTTGGGAAAAAGGCTATTTATCAGTAAATACTTCAAGTTGCCTTCTTCCCCAGTGATAGCAAACAGCTGATGTTAAGCATTTATTTTAAACTGGTACTAAAGGAATGGAAATGCAAATTTTTTAAACCAATGGTTTGTACCCTGGAATTGAAATTTCTTGAACTAGAAAAAGTGATTAATACATTATTTTGTAAAAGTCCATGAAATAAAGTTAACTGTAAACGGACAGCTTCCTTTATCATATCCAAACATTGTTTCCATCTATGTACAAGGAAGTATACCTGGCTCCAACCCTTCCCTGCCCGAATCCATCTTAAATCTTTAAAACAACAACAAAAATGCTTTATTTCCTGTGTCACTACAAGTACTGTGGAAACATTATCATACCCTTGCTGCAGAGTTTTAAAAGCTCAAATCAGGCATACACTTATAGCCAAGATCTGCTTTTCACATCGATAAACTTATTAATAAGCAGCCTAAACAGTAACACAATGTGCTGCATTCTGTAGTGCATAAATAAGCAATATCCACTTTAACTGCCAATTCTTTCTTATACTTTAAAAAATTATTTTTGCATAGTTTTAAGCGCCAACAATCACAAATGTGAAATACTTCCAAAAAGAAAACAGTCTTTCATTTCATAGATTACTCTTCTCAAAAGCAAAATACCCAGAATCCAAACATATATATACTTGAATGTATTATGTGTTTAAGTAAACCAGAGTCACAATTCCAAATATTTGGGGGAGCCAACTCAGAGAATCTAATTTAGTACAAAGTTCTCAAATACTGATATACCACCTACTGTATACTTACTTGGGTAACAAATTGCTATTCATTCATTATCTGTAGTGAAATTCTACTATACAGCTAAGTATTTGTCCTTTTAAAAGTTGGGCACATACCCAGGAAAGAGACCCAATTATAATAAAAACCTACCGGAATATCAGTGACCTCTAGCAAATCTGCCTGCCCTAGAGATATTTAATATATATATATATATATATTAAATATATATATATTTAACCATAATTTTTGAGGCCTTTACAACTGATGAATCACAAAAAACTGAGAATTATAAAAATAATTTCCACCAGGGTACCTTTTCTCTAGACCTGCAGTTTTAGTGTTTTAGTGTCCTTTTCCCAAACCCGTAAGACCAGAGGAAAAAAAGCAATTGCCTTAATTTTTATGTTTGGGAAAACTACATTTATCTGTAGAGAAGTGAAAAACAAGAAACAGAAGGAAAGTGGGAAATGCACCAGAAAGGAAAGAGGGATTATCACATTTAATGTAAATGAGGTAAATATATTTTTGAAATGAAAAATGCATTATGAAAAACCTCTTTTACCAAATATTGTACTTTTCAATTTCCTGGGCACTGAGGATATTGAATTGTAGTTGGATGAGATTACCTATGGGGTTAATGTGCTTAAAAATCAAAGGCAAGGTATAAAGGTATAGCTGCCTCCAAGAGCTAAGTATGTAATGTTTGACCTTAGTAACCTCTGAGTTCATTCTCTCTTGTCTAACCACAGGACCATTAAATATACCCTGATAATACAGGCAAATAGTAAATTGGGTAGATGTGTTTGATATTGAAAATAATCCAAATATTACCAAGCCAACCCTCCACTAAAAGAAAAAGAATTAATTCTAACCAACGGTGGAACAAAACTGTCCACATTTCATACAATCCCAACCTTACTTCAAAATATAAAGAAAAGTACAAGGTTTTAGCTATTTAAAATAAATAAAGAAAAATCTTGTTTCCTTTGGCATCTTTAGAAAGTAACTAAACTATAACAATTAAAGGAGGTGATTGTATAAAGAAATTTATGCTTAAGCAAATATATAGGGGAAAAAAACATAGCAACTTGTGTTTAGTATGCAATAATATCAACTACAAGAGCTTACTATTAATTAGCCTTACAAGTTTTTGGAAGAACCTTCACATCTTTTAACATTACAATATATTTAATAATGGTTCTTTTATTGCTTCTAAGATTATTGAGAAGTCAAATGAAATTATGCTGAATTTATGGTTCAAAACTATTTTCCAAATACTTAATGATTATAATTTAGGATAAATAACACTTGAAGAAAGCAAACCTTTTATAATATGACTTTCAATATACAGCCTTACTTTAATTCATTCTCATTCCATTACATTGTTATTTGCATTGGTCCTGAAAATTTAATAAGAACTGTGTTTCTATGTATAGAACTGCCTGCATAAATCCATTTCAGCCTTCATAAAATGGTCACATTAGTGTTTGAGCTTGCAAAACTAATAATTTTCAAACTTTTGAACTTAGAATGAAATGTAACTTTAATACGAATAGAAAGTCTGACTATGTACAAGAAAAGGTAAAGTTTTCAATTCTCATCAGAAACATCATAAAGAAAGCTAGATTTATAACACACTTCTATTCCTATGTGTATCTGAAGTATGTACAGTAAAACACCACACAGCTTTCATGTGTCAATAGGGGCAAATGCAAGCAAGAGTGACTTGTAAAGTACCTGATAAAGCAATCTCTATAAAGCCAAAATTAGGCTAAAAAACTGCCAACAGTTGATTGCATCCTTGCAAGTTCTCAAAGAAAATTTCATCAGTTTAAAAATAGAAAAATGTCAAATTCACTGAAAAACTAAGTTGGGTTCTTTCATTAAATTTTGGGAATACTACAACATTAAGTATTTACTGTTTTTGCAAAAGGAACAAAATTGGCAGCTCCATTTTTACATTATTACTCACATAGGAAAGTTTTAAGAGTGAAGAACTGTAACAAAACATTCCAAATGGACAACCTAAAAATGGAGCAAGGGATACTGCCCCTTGGCATTTTCCTCCACCAAATATAGAGAAATTTACTATTAGAGTATTAGCTGTGTGTGGTAAGAGGGGGAAAAATAGATATGGTGTCCCAGTCTGTTGACAAGGACAAAAAGGCTCTGAATAGGTCACCATCTTCAATTCTGGATAAATCTCATATTTAAGAATTCTCAAATGCTTAAAATGGTGGTCTTTTCAGCTACCCATCCTAAGAAGTCAAGTACAAGCATGCAAGTAAATTCACAGGCACAGAGGATCCATGTTAAAAACAGTTAAGGTAGCTGTGATGCAACACCAACAATTTGAATGGCCCTGACACACTCAAAATATTATCTTAATTATTCAACAAAATCCTGAAGCAAACTCTTGCTAGTCTTGGTACACTGCTAAACACTAGAGTAGCATGTTTTTTCCATGGTTTTAGCTTAGCTCAAAGAATTTTTACACTATTAAGAAAAAAAATTAAAGTATTTCCCCTTTTTAAATTTACACAGACGTTTAATTAGCTTTATTTACAGAGCAGGGATTTTTTTCAGTCTCCAATGTTGCCTAGATAACATCATTAGGCAAGAATGCCAGTTTAAAAGAAATCTATGCAGAATCCTAAAAATAACAGATGTTGATGCTCCTCAAGAAGGGGCAAGCTTGACTATATCAGCAGCTCTTTCTCTATGCCTCAGTTACTCAGAAGCAATTCTGTTGCAGTCTCTACATCCCATGATTTTGAAGACAAGGCCACTATTACCGCATTCTGTAGAGAAGAAAAGGGGACAAAAACATCAAATCTCAAAATATTTTTAAAATACTGAATCATGCACTATCTTTATATTGAGAAAGCACACCTTGTTTTCTTAAGTTGCCTTGTATTTGTAGTGCATAAAAAGCTTCTAAACCAATGACTGGAATTAGCAAAAGGAAAAGAAACGAATCACTGATTGTAATACAGAAGAAAGTTTATAAAAACTAGATTTAGAGTTATCTTTGAACCACTTTTGTCAGCCAAGGATCTGCAGCAATAATTTAACTCAATCAATGTATCAAAATAAGCAAGCCTTTTGGTACTTACCCTATCAAAGCCCATAGCACATAGGTTTTCTATTTTTTTGGTGTATTCTGGACTAGAAACTGGTGCTCCAGCATACACATGTGCCCAAAGTCGAGCTGTCTGTTTGAACATTTCAGGATTTTGTTTGTACTACAATGAAGAAACAAATTGAATGACATGACAATGCAGTCACAATATTCAATAGTAATTACCTAAGAACTGGCTTTTTCTAAGTAAAAGTAATTTACATTTAAAATGTAATTGATTCAACTTTCTGTTGCATATAAGGTCACTCAAGAAAAAAGGTCCGACCTGAAGCTGTGATTCACAAGTGTTGGCCAAAAAAAAAGACCAATTATATTTATGAACTTTAATCTCCAATTTCAATAGATATAAGTAACAGAAAACTAATACTAATTGAAGTGAGGTACAGACATGTTTCTGAACACTGCAAAGTGTCAAACATTATACAACCAAACAAAATTGTTTGCTTCTAAAATTGTATGGACATTAACAAATGTGACCGACTTTTGTATTAACCACAGCTCAGAAAAAAATACAACTAGACTTTGCTGCTTTACTAGAACTGTATTCGTATACAATGATTTAAGAAAATACCATGTGCAAAGCCTTTTTAAAAAGATTTTATTTTGGGCGCACCCAGCTCGCTCAGTTGGTAGAGCATGCAACTCTTGTTCTTGGTGTTTTGAGTTCAGGCCCCATGTTGGGCATGGAGCCTACTTAAAGGAAAAAAAAAAGATTTTTAAGTGATCTCTACACCCATCATGGGGCTCAAACTTACAACCCTGAGATCAAGAGTCACATGCTCCCCTGACTCAACATGGAGTCTTTTTTTTTTTTTTTAAGATTTTATTTATTTTTTTGTCAGAGAGCGCACAAGTAGGGAGAGCTGCAGGTAGAGGGAGAGGGAGAAGGAGGCTCACCAAGCAGGGAGCCCGATACGGGGCTCGATCCCAGGATGCTGGGATCATGACCTGAGCCGAAGGCAGACACTTAACCAACTGAGCCACCCAGGCATCCCTCGATAAGCAGTCTCAATTTATAGCATCTTTTGAGATATTTATGAACTCACCATATAGTACTTTTAAAAGGTAAGACTTCCCATTCTCATTAGAAAGAGATAAATTCATTCTTAAATACTCTGGAACCAATATTACTTAACAAATGAAGTATAAATTTAAAATAACTTCAATTCACTTTAATATTTCTTTTAAAAGCACATGTATTGAATATTTTAAGACTGATCAGCTTCTATTATATATTAAAATGATAAATCTAGTTTCTACCTTGTTAATTCCTAACGAGGAAGTCAAATTACTGAACTCTTTGAGGAGCTATATGAAAGCTCTAAGTCCAACTTCAGCCTTTGAGGCTCAGAACTCCACAGGAAATCAAAGCTGAGATTCAAGCCATGCTTCTGACTACCAAAAGCAAATCAACAGTACATACATACAGCATGTAAAACCCTAATTCTAAGCACTCTGAAACAAACAACAGTAGAATGTATTAACAAAGATATACAGAAAATAAGGAGTTAACAGCTTTTCAAGTGAAAGGAATAGGTTTACTAAGAGGAACCAGGCAGAGGAAACATGGCAGATTGAGTGAAATGACCGGCAGAAATGAACACCATCTTGAAAACGCAGGAGTCCAAGAAATAGTAAAAATTTAGAAGATGAAGCTGGGTTTGTAGACAGTTCAAACCATGGAAAGACTCTATAAATGAAAGAATCTAGATTTACCAAGTAGGTGATAGCAGAGCTTCTTTAAAAAAAAAAAAGATTTTATTTATTTATTTCACAGAGAGAGACACAGCGAGAGAGGGAACACAAGCAGAGGGGGTGGGAGAGGGAGAAGCAGCTTCCTGCCAAGCAGGGAGTCTGATGCAGGGCTCGATCCCAGGACCCTGGAATAATGACCTGAGCTGAAGGCAGACGCTTAACAACTGAGCGACCCAGGCACCCCCAAAAGCAGAGCTTCTAATAGATTTTTAGTAGTAAAATAAAGTAAGATTTGTACTTTAAAAAGTTCACTGGTATCAATGCAGAAGATGGGATGAGGAAAAGATTGAGGAAGGGACAGCTATCAGAGTAGTTGAATTGAGAATTTTTTTTTTTTTTTTTAGATTTGAGAGGGAGAGTACAGAGGGATAGTGACAGGGAGAAGCGGACTCCCCGCTGAGCAGAGAGCCCGTTGTGGGACTCGATCCCAGGACCCTGAGATCATGACCTAAGCCAAAGGGAGACGCCTAACCGACTGAGCCAACCAGGAGCCTGAGAAGTTTTTTAAAATTTGAACTAAGGCAAATCAGAGAAGTATGACAGAGATACTGGGAATGGAATCACCAAGAGAAAAGGAGGCATAGAGAATTCCAACTCTGTGGCTTGGATATTTAACTAAGCTGATGATGGTATCACATAAGGATGGACAAGTTCATAGGATTTAAGAGTCTACGTTCAGTATGGGAATGTTGTGCTGAGGTATCCATGAAACATTCATAAAGAACTATCCAGTTCTTTCCTTTCCTTTTTTTTTTTTTTTAAAGATTTTTATTTATTTATTTGACAGAGAAAGAGTGAGAGCAGGAACACAAGCAGGGGAAATGGGAGAGGAAGAAGCAGGCTTCCCGCTGAGCAGGGAGCCCAATGTGGGGCTCGATCCCAGGACCCTGGGATCCTGACCTGAGCCGAAGGCACATGCTTAACAACTGAGTCACCCAGGCACCCCTAGAACTATCCAGTTCTGAATAGGCTCTTGGGCTCAGGGAGAAATCAAGCCTAAACATTTTCTCAATTTACAGGTGATAATATCAGTGTGGATACGATCATCCAAGTGACCATATGTAATGGAAAATAAAAGGAACAATGTCTAAACCAAGGAACTCCTTATTTAAAAGGAGGAAGAAGAGAAATTGTAGGAACTATGAAGGAACAACTACAACTGCCAAGATGAGAACAGAGTAGTACCTCAGAAGTCAAGAGAAGAAAAAAATTCTAGGTCGGGGTGGGGGAAAAAAAGGCTCAGTAAATCCTAATGGCTTAGAATAGGGGTTGGCAAACTTTCTCACAGGACCAGATAATAATTATTTCAAGCTTTCAGACCATACCGTTTTTGTTGCAACTACTCAACTCTGCCACTTGTGGCTGGAAGGTAAACAAATGGATGTGGCTGTATTCCAATAAAACATTATTTACAAAAATAGTAAGTCTAGCTATAATTTGCTGACCTCTGCCTTGGAGATCAGATCAGAAGTGAAAAAAATTTATTCCATTTGGCAATTTTAAGATCCTTCGTAACTTTTACCATGTCACTTCAGCCACAGCCGGAGCTGGTTAAAATTATCATCAGGTGGGGGAGAACATGGAGCAAATGTTTCACAACCTGAACCGCAGAACTGTGATCCTCCAAGGAGAGTGCTACTTGAAGAAAAGAAACAAAGTCGAATGGCTTCTCAGGCATTTTGTTTTCTGTGCACATAAAAGCCACAGCTGCAGTAGGGTGGCCCGTGTTTTGAGCACTCAGATTTCAGTTCTTTTTTAAAAGATTTTATTTATTTATTTGACAGAGAGAGACACAGCGAGAGAGGGAACACAAGCAGGGGGAGTGGGAGAGGGAGAAGCAGGCTTCCTGCCGAGCAGGGAGCCCAATGTGGGGCTCGATCCCAGCACCCTGGGATCATGACCTGAGCCGAAGGCAGACGCTTAATGACTGAGCCACCCAGGCGCCCCAGATTTCAGTTCTCTTAAAAGTGAAAGAGGGATCGACTGACGGTTCATTGCTGTTCCGTAACTAGTGTAAAATATGTATATGTTTATCTTTATTTTTATAACATGCAAACACATTTAAATTTATAGTTACAAAAAATTATCACCAGGGAGGAATTATCACTAAATGGAGGGATAGACAGATACACACATGATTAAGCAGGTATAGTAAAATCTCAATCACAGAATCCAGATGTAGGTAGGAATATGGGTGTTCACTATATAAATCTTTTGACACTGTGTGTTTGAAAATTTCCGTTAGTTTTTTTTAAAAACCATCTATCATATATCCAATTAAATTAGTATATTAAAAATCAATAAAGTTTTTACTATGACATCTGACAAAATAATCTTACCACAAGAAAGAAAACCACTTCCAAATTTAGTGTCAATAGAACCACGCACATGTGTTAATACTGCAAACCATTATAGTAGTAGAGACTCATAGGTAAACATAAGGACGTCTTTCAAAAGCAGCCACCTTACCTGATTTGCTACTACTGCATCCTGTGGATCATCTGGTTCTGCAGCTGCCAATAGGGCTTGCAATGACAATAATACCGTGCGGAGAGTCATTGCTGCTGCCCTAAAAATCAAAACAGGAAAATATCGCAGTTAAGAACATGCTGCATGACAAAAGCAAAGTGGATGTTTTCTGAATAAAATATAAAAACTACTGGAGCTAACAAAAAAAAAAAATCTAGATTTTTATCTTAATCATGTAATTTATAGAAATTTATATATCTATATTTTTTTCACCTTTACTTTACAATGAATGAATGAGTCTTTCTATTTTTTTAAGACAAGTCAAACCATCCTGAACTGGACTTGCTTTTCTTATTGTTGTCAGTATCCTTCTGGTCAGCTTTACTCATTGACTTTTTATCCATTTCTCTACACATAAAGTGATAAACTAGTATATACAACTTTCTTTCAGTGCCATCCCAAAAACATGTAAAATACCATCAAGCAAATATTTCTTACTTTCAAGAAAGTGTGAAATCATTCCATAACATTCTGACTAGAGCAAGTTATTTGCTTAAAATATATCACTTAATCCATGCATCTATATAAAGCAAGTATTTATCTGAAAGCTTCATGACACTGGAGTTGACAATGATTTCTTGGATAGGACATAGAAAGTGCAGGCAACAACAGAAAAAATAGAGAAACTGGTCTAACTATATCAAAGTTAACTGTGTAGAGAAAAACCTCCCATGCAAAGGATAAAAATTAACAGAGTGAAAGGCAGTCCAGAGAATGGGAGAAAATATTTGCAAATTATGTATCTGATAAAGGGTTAATGTCTGGAATATATAAAGAACTCCTATAACTCAACAATAAAAACCCAATTAAAAAATAAGAAAGGACTTGAACAGACATTTCTCCAGAAGATATACAAATATCTGATAAGCACATGAAAAGATGCTTAATATCACTCATCATTAGGGAAACAAATCAAACAATGAGATACTACCTCACATCCATTAGGATGGCTACTATCAAAACAAAAAATAACAGTTGTTGGTGAAGATGCAGAGTCATTGGAATCCTTATGCACAGATGGTGGGAATGCAAAATGAACAATTACAGAAAACAGTATAGCAATTCTTCAAAAAACTTAAACACAGAATTACTATATGATCCAACAATTCCACTTGTAGGGAGGTACATATCCAAAATAAGTGAAACCAAGGACTCAGATATTTGTACACCCATGTTTATACAAGGATTATTCACAATAGCCAGAAGGTAGAAGTAACTCACTTCCATCAACCCATGAATGAATAAAATATGGTATATACATACACTGGATTATTATTCAGCCTTAAAAAGGAAGATAAATCAGACACATGCTACAACATGGATGAGTCCTGATGACATTATGTTAAGTGAAGCCAGGAATAAAAAGATAAATACTATGATTCATGAGGTACCTAGAAAAGCCAAATTCATAGAGACAGAAAGTAGAATGGTGGTTGTCATTGGTTGGAGGGTGAGAAAAACAGGAAGTTATTGTTTAATAGGTATGGTTTCAGTTTTGAAAGATGAAAAGGTGGGAGGGGACAGGGTAGAAGGATGAAGAGGGCACAGAGGACTTTTAGGGGAGTGAAAATACTCTGTATACCACAATGATGGATACATGTCATCATACACTTGTTCAAATGTATAGAATGGACAACACCAAGAGTGAACCATAATATAAACTAAGGACTCTGGGTGACTGAGATAGGTCAATGCAGGTTCCTCAGCTGTAACAAATGTACCATTCTGACAGAGGATGCCGATTATAGGGGAGGCTATGTATATGTAGGGACAGGGAGTATATGGGAAATTTTTGTACCTTCCTCTCAATTTTGCTATGAATCTAGAACTGCTCTAAAAAAATAAAGTCCTGGAGACTGGTAGCATAACAATGTGAATATACTTAGTAATACTCATCTATACACTTACTTGAAACACTGAAGATTTCCACATTACATGTCAATTAAAAAAACCAAGATGATAAATTTTATGTCATATATTTTACAATATAAAAAACTTTATTATTTTTAAAAGATTTATTTATTTGTCATAGAGAGAGAGAGCAGGGAGAGCGACAGGGAGAGCAGCAGGCAGAGGGAGAAGCAGGCTCCCTGCTGAGCAAGGAACTCAATCCCAGGACCCTGGGATCATGACCTGAGCCAAAGGCAGACGCTTAATCGACTGAACGACCCAGGAGTCCTTAAAAAACTTTTTTTTTTTTTAACTACTATGTAGTGTTTCACTGTACAATTATTCCATCATATATCCATTTTGTTAGTAGACATTTGGGTTATTGAATAAATGTGCTACGAATATTTTTGTACAAGTCTTTTGGTGGACATATGCATTCATTTCTCTTGGATATAGACCTAGAGGTGGAATTGCTAGGCCCTATCAAAGGTGTACGTTTAGCTCTGGTAGATACTGCTGGTTGAGTAGCTGAACCACATTCCTACCATCAATGCATGACAACTATTTATAAGTATGTAGTAGTATCTAATTGTAATTTTAATTTGCATCTCCCTAATAACTAATGATGCTGAGCACTGCTTATCAACCACGTAGGTATTCTCTTAATGCCTGTTCATGTCTTTTAGAAGGGCAGTATCACCGAGTGCAATTTTTATGTGTAGTCATTTTCTTCTATTTCCCCAGGTAAATAGACACCTATAGTCACAATAGGTGTCAGTGGAAAAACATCAGAAAATAGTTTCCACATAGAACACACTGGAGTGTGGAGTTAATAAACCATACTAACATAGAGTTGTTAAATATTAAAGGTAAACCACCATATGTATTAACAAAAGACCAAGACAGTTTTCTAGCACACCTATCCCAAATTATTCAATGTTTATTCAATTTATTTTTCTGAAGATTACTATCCTCTAGTTTTCTTTACCAAATTCCAGCTCTGAAGCCTAAGTAAACATGAATATCCACTGACTGTCAATTATACCTCAATAAATTGGGGGGGGGCTTAGGATATCCATGCATACCTAATCTCACCTATTTTTATCTGACGTGTTTTTGACATTTTAAAATATTTCAATGACATAGATATGAAATGAGGCTAAATTCAGCTATTTCACATCTGCCTAAGGAAATGGGAACAGTTGACAACTGTTTCAGTACAAAAGTGCCAAGTTCTCTCTCTACATATATACCATAATTTTTCAACTGTCTATAGAGAGATAATCAGAAGTGGTAGTACTGCTGGTTTAACTGTGAACAAAAAGGGGAATCAGTGGAAAATTTTAGTCTGGAGCTGTATTTGTTTTTAAAAAGGGATGGATGTGGGGAGGGGGCGAGCAGGGAGGAGAGTATCATTCTCTGAGAATTGCTGAGTAGGGCAAAGTCAGAAGCAGAGAGACAGGCTACAGTAATCATCGAGGGAAGAGGTAATGTGATTTGGGCCAGGTAGTAGTAATGAAACTGCTGATAAGATTTTGGAAGTTTCACTAATAAGATTTGCAAACAGGGTACAGGGTACCAGAGAAACAAGAACCAAGGATCATGATGAGGTTTTGGCCAGAGCAACTGCAACAATGTAGTTGCCAATAGCTTAGATGGGGTGATGCAGGTTTTGGGTTAGGGGAGTATCAGTTCAGTTTTCAACATGTTTTAAGTTTGAGGTGTCTACTACATACATATTTAAGTACAGATGTTAAGCAGGCAGCAGCATATGAGTGTGGAGTCCAAGAAAGATAAACTTATGAGTTGCTGGTATTTAAAAAGTGAAGTTCTAAAATCAGATGAGCATACCAGGAAAGTGAGTATAGATGAAAAGTAGCAGAGATAAAGACTTAGCCCCGAGGTACTCTCATCTGCAAAGCTGCTAGAAACAAGGAGGAACTAGTTAAGAAATCTGGGAATGGGCACAGAAAAGGGGAGAATAGAAGAATTAATGTCCCAGAAACCAAGTGAAAGAAGTACAATGTCTGCAAATATTCATTAATATCACTGGATGATCGAACTATTATAAGGGGCCTTTGAAATAAATTTATGGATAAAAACACTGAGGCCTACAAATTGTGAAAAGTCACAAATTAAAAGAATGACAGAATAAAATTAGTTCTATTTCACACTATTCCATGTTTAAGGGTATGGAATACAGAGCAAGAAACTAGACCCCAAGAGATGATCTGAGAGGGGAGGCTTTACTCAAATGTGCTATTAGAACGGAAAAGCAAAACCAAACCAACAATTCTTGTCTGTTTATCCAATTACTAAATAAAACCAAATCACCCAAACACTAAATGTTGTCATTTTGTTTCACCTTGTTCATGTTCAAGTTCCATCCTTTCCCTTTCTTAAATCAAACACATAGCTTATTACTGTTTTCGCCCACTCTGATATCTTTTTTATATACTTCTTGTCTTAGTTTTTTTCCATTCATATTGTTAGAATATACCAGGCTCTATTCTAAGAAAATTACATAAAACAATTCATTTAATCCTTTTAACAACCCTATGGAGTATTAACCCCATCTTGTGAGATGAGGACACTAAGGCACAAAGGCCAGGTAATTTCCTCAAGACCACAGTTTAGTAAATGGCAGTCAGGATTTGAACTTAATGGCTCCAGGGTAAGAATTCTTAAAACACTCTGCTACTAAAATCAAATCAGACAAAACATGTTAAAGCACTATAAAGTGCTATGCAAATGAAGACATCACTTTACAAAGGTACTCCTTTCTTACAACTCTGAGAACCTTAACTAAGCTCACTTAACACAACTTTTAACATTTTTGTTGCCTATACCCCATCCACATCAGAGCTGATTACTTCAATACTTAAATTTTTTTAGTCTTTCACAAATATCTTCCAGAGACAGCAAAGAACCAAATTTACGAAAATAAATTAAATCAAGACTTTTCAAGATGTAATAAGTCACTTTTTTTTAAGATTATATTTATTTCTTTGAGAGACAGCGAAAGCAATCACAGAGGCAGAGAAGTGGACTTGCCGCTGAGTGGAGAGCCTGATGTGGGGCTCGATCCCAGGACCCTGAGATCATGACCTGAGCCGAAGGCAGACGCTCAACCGACTGAGCCACTCAGGTGCCCCATAAGTCACTATTTAAATAATGATTGTGATCTCAATTCTAACACACTTTTTAATAAAGACTTATTTATTTTACAGAGGTGGTAGGAGGGATAAAGGGAGAGGGAGAGAGAATCTCAAGCAGACTCCACACTTAGCGCAGAGCCAACGTGGGGCTCAATCGAGCTCATGACCTGAGCTGAAACCAAGAGTCAGATACTTAACCAACTGCAACACCCAGACACCCCAACACATTTTTGATCATGCACTTAAGAAACTTCATAAGGTTTTAAAATTACAGCCCAAATAAGAGAAAGTATAATATATGCTTATGTTTTGAGGCAATTACATGCGTAACACTCTAAATATAGCCTTGGAATTCATTGACAGGGAAGAAAATGAATTCAAAATCTCTTACCATTGATCTTTCAGGATATCCAAACAAATAGCCCCTGTGACGGAACTAATATTAGGATGCCATATTTTAGTGATAAACCGGACCTAAAATATAAAGGACACTTGAGTTTTTAAGTAACAGAAATAAAACACATGTAGTTCAAGTATGACGACAAGAAAATGAAATCCTCAGATTAAAAAAATAAAGACCATACTTACATTACTATCATTTTGCCTAGCTGAAGGGAAGGGTGTGGAAGACAAACCATTCAGCAAGCTGAATGTTGTCAGTGACATACATTCTTTTTAAAACTTTTAATAAATGCTCCGCCCCTAAAGAAACCCAACAATTACCAGGTGTTTACAATTTACCTAGCATAATAGTCCATGCTATGAGAACTACAACACAGACTAAAATCTAGTTAGGTAAAGTAACATAAAATCAAAATTAATATAGACAGTAAATGGCAATTTATTTAGTGTCAAGTAGGATGTAGCATAGCACTGAAGGACAAAGTAAGCAAAATCAGTACATGGAAGCATTTTAGTAGCAAGTGGCGGTAACATGGCTCCTAAATTTTCTTTAGAAATTGCTTTCTCAGATTTTAAAAAAATAATTCAACAAATATTTGAAAGACACTGGCACTAAGGAGACACGGAGGCTTAGAGTTTAAAAAATTTATCCCAAATCAAATAACTAGTTAGCAAGAGAACCATATGCAAACTTACACAATCTCATTTCAGATTCTGAGTCTCTAATCACCTCATTATTTGTCTTAGCATGGATAAGAAACCAACAAAATGAAAATGATCTAACAGACCACCATGAAATGAAATCCAGTTTATCAGCTCTTACTTTGAGCTTCTGAAGGACCAATTATTATTATTATTTGGAGAGGGACCTATTATTCTTATTATATCTGACACATGTAAATAGTCACCTGAGTCAAAACTCCTTTACACTTAATAGATTAATTACTATAAGTCAAGCATTGGTTCTTTTTTTTTTTTTTAAGTAGGCTCCATCATGCCCAGAGTGGAGCCCAAGTGGGGCCTGAACTCATGACCCTGAGATTAAGACCTGAGCTGATATCAAGAGTCAGATGCTTAACCACCTGAGCCACCCAGGTGCCCCAAGCAAAGCAATGTTTTAAGTACTCTACAAAAATTAACTCGTCAATATGTGCTCTAAATCTAATCCATTTATGGAAAGAAGCTAAGCAGATAGCTTCCACTTCTCTCCTTATGACTGGATTTGTCTATACTACCTGTTATTACTTCCTCACCTAATTACTCACTAACTTATATGCTAAAAAAGAACTTCAAGTTACCAATGACTTCAAAACACCTAACTGATGGAATCTTTCCATGCCTTGATCCTTTTTAATTCTTGCTTTCAAAGGTATCTACTTCTCTCAATCCACAGAATCACCAAATTGTTAAATAAGACGTCTCATCATCCTACATTTGGGTTACCAAACAGTCTACTGACTTTAATACCTTCAGTTTGGTTTCTTTCAATCCATTCCCCACATTGAAAACAAGAGTACCCTTTAAAACAACTGATTCACTACCCTACTTAAGGCCCTTTAATGACTTCTCATTCCCTCAAACTGACCCCTAGCCTATCTCTCAAGTCATCTTAAAAGAAATTTTTTTTCCCCCTTTGGGCTTTTAATACCTGTTTCCTTTCGCAATAACACATGCTGATGCCCTCTTCTCCTGGCTAATTCCTACTTAATCCTTTCAATTTCCACATCACTTCTTCCTGATCTGTTCTCACAGCACCCTATACTTTCCTATGTCATCATATTGATCACACTTCTATAATCTCTTTCATGTCTGGCCTTCCCTAAAAGGCTCAGTATCTCTCCTGCTTACGAGAGCCTCCCAAGTACCCAAAGTATCTCAGACTGAATGAATATGCAATTAACATTATGACAAACCTGTTATTAGAACTAATCAGCATCCCTCTCAAATATAGAGCAGGTCAAAGAAGACAGGCATACAGGACTTATGTACAACAAACATTTCTTCCTAATAGATATAACCACAATATTCATATCTTAATTTCTACCATTGAGTTTAAAGTATAAAAAATACAAAATAACCATATGCCATAATTTCAGTAACTCAAGGACATTACAGCATTTTGTGACTTTAAAACAAAAATTGGGGGGTGCCTGGGTGGCTCAGTTGTTAGGCGTCTGCCTTCGGCTCAGGTCATAATCCCAGGGTCCTGGGATCGAGCCTCGCATCGGGCTCCCTGCTCCGCGGGGAGTCTGCTTCTCCCTCTCCCAATCCCCCTGCTTGTGTTCCCTCTCTCGCTGTGTCTCTCTGTCAAATAAATCAATAAAATCTTAACAAAAATTGGTTCAATCTTTTCAACACTGGAAAAAGAATTTTATTTCATTTTTAAAAAAAGATTTTATTTTTAAGTAATCTCTACACCCAATATGGGGCTCAAACTCACAACCCGGAGATCAAGAGTCACATTCTCCACTGACTTAGCCAGCGAGGCGCCCCAAGAATTTTAAATTACTACTTAAGTCATCAGAAGGTTTATGATTAGGCAAGTGATCTAAGGTGTCTTTCTTTTCAAAGAGAAGTCTTCAATACATGATCTCTACAGACTCTATATGAAAACAAATATGCATATATGCAGGATCAAGGAACTATTTGTTACTTTGTACTAATCTATATTTTTAGGAATAGATACCTTTGAATTTGCAAATGATGTAGTAAAAAAATTTTCAAGAGGACATTCCATCACCCACTAGTATGGATGTAAGTATTTATCTTAGTTTTTTCTGTGGTCTACCATTCTTTATCTCCTATTCCCCTTTTGTTATTATTTATCAACTACCTCATTTCTTAGATTTTTCATGTCTTTTTCCTTCTTGAGCCTTAATATCACTAGTGGTATCCACATGTGGTCCAGAATTGTGTCCTATTATTCTATACCCAATTAATATCTACTGTATTTGTCACTTTTTCTCATAGTGCTAACACCTCTGTTGTTTATCAACAAAAATGTAGAATCAAAACAACTTGGAAGGGATGAAGCATAAGAGTAAAAAACAATACAAGGACATTTATTATGACCTATTTTAGTCATATTTGACACATTACAAAACAGGTATGAAATGGTTTATAGTATTAAAAGACTTTACTAATCACAATTTAAGCCTCCTTATTTTCACCAATGAAACTAATACCAGCACCATCTGGGTAAATTCAGAATACTCATTACCTTACAGGAACACTCAAAAAAATTATATAGAAATATAAAAAATATAAATATAAACAAATATTTATAAAATATAAATTTTTATTAAAATATTAAAAATTTAAATATTAAACATCTTATACAGAAATATTAATCTTAACACCATGTACACAGTGCTACCAGACCAAAATGAAGGAGACTATTCTTTTTTTTTTAAAGATTTTTATTTATTTATTGAGAGAGAGAGAGAATGGGAGAGAAGAGAGCATGAGAGGGAGGAAGGTCAGAGGGAGAAGCAGACTCCCTGCCGAGCAGGGAGCCTGATGCGGGACTCAATCCTGGGACTCCAGGATCATGACCTGAGCCGAAGGCAGTCACTTAACCAACTGAGCCACCCAGGCACCCAAGGAGACTATTCTTATTATCTACATTGGCACACCATCATCACTAATCTATTTTTTTTTTTCATCACTAATCTTATCTCCTCCTGGAGGACAGTATTCTATTCATTCACTCTTCAGTTCAAACATTTCAGTAACTACTTCATGGTAAATGTAAGCTCACATTTCCACTGAATTTCCAGTTTCAAACTTGGAACTCAAGGACGTTATGCTATTAAACCAGCTTTAACTAAATTATTATACCAAAAGGGGTGCCTGGGTGGCTCAGTTGGTTAAGCAACTGCCTTCGGCTCAGGTCATGATCCTGGAGTCCTGGGATCAAGTCCCGCATCGGGCTCCCTGCTCAGCGGGGAGTCTGCTTCTCCCTCTAACCCTCCCTCCTCTCATGTGCTCTCTCTCTCATTCTCTCTCAAATAAATAAAAATAAACTTAAAAAAAAAAAAAATTATTGTACCAAAAAAATGCTATTTTAAGTATGTATGTGCAGATGGGCAGACCCATTAAAAGTTATTAGCAATGGTACTTATAGTCAATTTCACATATAAAACTACATTTATGTCAAGGAAAAACAGGAAAATTCACAACCTAATCTCTAATACATAACTGGACAAATCATTGAGCTAGAGTTTTCCTAATTTAATGAATTTTTTCATTAATAGTATATTATAATTCACTTCAGAAATAACACTGTATGCATTGAATTAAACTCCTTCTACAAGATATATCTTCTCTATCTAGAAGCAAACCTTCTGTTCTTCAGGTTAATAAATTATTGCAGAATAATAAATAGGAAATACTCTGTGACCACTGGTTATCAAACATGTAAGTTTCAACCTTGTGCAATTTTAGCTGCACAACAGAGAGAAAATATAACCAGCTACACGTTATCTCATGAGGCTTAAAATTAAATCTGAGCCTACATATTAAACATATGTAAACAAAATCCAGCAAGAAATTTACAAATACTCTCCATTTTTTTCCATTATATTTACCAATCAGTATAAATTCAATGTAGTACATATCTAGAACACATTTATAATGTTCATTCACATTTACTGCAAAAGCTTAATGCCATAAATGGGATGAGTACCATATTTAAAAGAATACTAAATTACAACTAAGATTAACTAGTTGAAGCCAGAGGGAGACACATTAGAATGATTAAAGGAAGACTTTTCTAAATCTTGAAGCTACCTCAATATGGAATGTCTGGAATTAGGATAGTAGTGGCCTGAAGAACAATAGGAGATCTGTTCTCATGTTATGAGTCTATTTTTCCCACTGTGCTAAGAAAAGGAGAGTGAGAGAGGGACTAATAAAACACTGATTTCAATGATTAAATAAAATAATATATTAATGCCCGAAACAGAGCCCGGGCTATGCAATCACTTTGGAGCTATATAAGACTATAGAGGGAAATAATTAAACACTTTCACTGAGATTATAATTCACCCATTTAAAGTATACAACTCCATGATCGTTTTCAGTACATACACAGAGCAACCATGTAACCATCAGCAGTCACTCCCCATTCCTTCACACACCCCACTGACCTATTTTTTGTTTCTATGGATTTGCTTCTTCCAATGTTTCATATAAATAAAATCATACAATGTGTGGCCTTTTGTGTCTGGCTTCTTTCATGTAGCATGATGTTTTCAAAGTTCATCTATCTTATACCGTATTATCAGTACTTCATTTGTTTTTATAACCAAAAAATATTCCATGGTATGAATATGCCACATTTTATTTATCCATTCAGTAAATGGGCATTTATGTCATTTCTACTTTTTGGCCATTACGAATAGTGCTGGTATGAACATTTGTGTACAAGTTGTTGTGTGGACATGTTTTCATTTCTACTGGGTAGGTACCTAGAAGTAGAATTGATAGGTCATAAGGTTAACTCTATGTTTACCATTTTGACCAAACTATGTTCCAAAGCAGCTCCAACATCTTAATTCTCACCAGCAATGAATGAGAATTTCAATTTATACAGGAAATATTAAGTGTCAATGCTATACTTTCAAATGATGTCACAGAAGAAAGCCATCAGGCTACTTCAAGAAGGGATTTTTAGAGTGGTAGCATTAACCAGTATAATATTTACATAGTGCTTATTCTGTGTAGGCACAGTTATATAAGTATTACTCTATCTCAGGTACCATGAATTATATAATACACCATTACTTTATGTACCCTGAGAAAGAAAAAAACTCTGCCAATTAAATTATGACATGTCATCATCGAAAGGTGTATCTTAATTTCAGAGATATTAAATATGTGAAAAAGGGGCACCTGCCAGTTAGGCATCTGCCTTCAGCTTGGGTCATGATCCTGGGGGTCCTGGGATCGAGCACCAAATCCGGCTCCCTGCTCCTCGGGGAGTCTGCTTCTCCTTCTACCCCTCCCCCTGCTTATGCTCTCTCATTCTCTCTCTGTCTCACTCTCTCAAATAAATAAAATTAAAAGAAAAACTTAAAAAAAAATAAATGTGAAAAAATGTTTCTGAGAATTATTACAATAATTTGTACATGGATTAATGCCTTTAATCTTTATAATCCTAAGTGAGGATTTTATAAATGAGGCAACTAGGGCACACAGCTTGCCTAAAATCATAAAGCCTAAAATTATAAAACTGGCTGGCTCAGTTAGAGCATGTAGCTCTTGATTTTGGGATAGTAAATTTGAGCCCCATATTGGGCAGAGATTACTAGGAAAAAAAAAAATTATAAAGCCAGTTAAATGGCTGAGGTGGATTTGAACTTTGGTGGACTGCTCTTATTCTTGGTGAAGTCATATTCACTGTTTTAGAGATTATGCCCTCATTCCTTCCTCACAACAGGTTCAAAAAAGTAGAGCACACTGGGCCTTATGGGATTCGGGTTCCATTTAACCTCTAAGCCTCAGGTCCTTCATTTATTAGAACGGTTAAGATTGTTTCAGGAAAGGCATATAAAATTCTTAGCACAAACCAAGTGACAGTTGCTACTGCCATTATTTAACAGTAAAAAATGTAGTGGCTGAAAGTCTCTTTTGAGGTCTTTCCTTCTCCTTATTTCCATTAAAAATTTTTTCTAGGCTAAGAGAGCATCCTTAACCTTTAAATATTTAAAATCTTCTTTTGTTAAATTCATAGTACTCAACAATTAAAGTATCCTCAAGCGTGTATTCATTCCAGTGATACCACTAAAACCTAGACTGAATCCAGTGGAGGGTAACCAGGATGAGGATGAAAATTAAGTCACAGATCTAAGATGACGGCTTAATAACAGAGGTCATCTCTAAATGGTCATATTGAAAAATGTTTTCTTTTTTTTATAATTCACTACATAACTTTCTCAAATATCTACAAAAAGCACAAACTACCTTTCTAAAAAAATATTTATTTTAGGAGAGAGAGACAGCACGAGGGGGAGTGGCAGAGGAAGAGAGAATCTCAAGCAGGCTCTATGCCCAGTGTGGAGCCCAATGCAAGGCTTGATCTCACAACCCTGAAATCATGACCTGAGCCGAAATCAAGAGTTGGATGCTTAACCGACTGAGCCACCCAGGCGCCCCCAAATTACTCTATATAATAGAGAAAAAAAAAAGAAGAAAAAAAAGAATCAACCAGCTTAAAAGGTAGAACAACCAAAATGTCCCTTGATGGTTGAATGGATAACGTGGCATATATGAACAAGGGAACACTATTTAACCTTAAAAAGGAATAAAATTCAGATATATGCTGAAATATGAATGAACCTTGAAGACATTATGCTAAGTGAAATAAATCAGATACAAAAGGACAAATATGGTGTGATTCCACTTAACTGAGGTACCTAATCAAATTCATACAGAGAAAGTAGAACAATGGTTACGGGACCTGGGGGCATGAGGTAATGGGGAGTTACTGTTTAACAGGTAAGAAGAAGTAGTTCTGGAGATGGATAAAGGTGATGACTGCACAACATGACTGTATTTAATATCACTGAATTGCACACTTCGAAATGGTTAAAATGGTAAAATTTTATGTTATGTGTAATTTATAACAATTTAAAAGAATCAAGTGGGCACATCAGAAAATAGATGTACATAAGATACAGAATAAGAGACACCCCAAACCAGTAGGTGATCCCAATGCATCCTGGAACTTCCATTACTATGTCTGTCCTTAAATGGGAACAACCAACAGGCTGAATGAATTCCAGAACATTTTCCGAGTGACTGCTATCATATGCTCAAGGACTCAAGGAGCCACAGAAAAGACAAAGATGTATTAAGACAAGGTCCTTCACCTCAGGGGCATAAAAGCTAGTGAAAGATACATACCCCAAATAATACATTAATTGGTACTGTATCTGTGTTGGTACTATAGCTAACCCTTAAATGACATGGGTTTGAACTGCACTGGTCAATTTATATGTGGATTTTTTCTGATAAATACAGTATAGTACTTTAAGTGTATTTTCTCTTTATGATTTTAATATTTTTTCTCCAGCTTTATTGAAAGAATACAGTATTTAATACAAATATGAAATATGTGTAAATCGACTTTGTTATTGGTAAGGTTTCAGTAGGCTGGCTGACAGTAGGCTATTAAGTTTTTGGGGAGTCAAGAGATATGTGGATTTTCGACTGCACAGGGAGTCAGTGTACCTAACTCCCACATTGTTCAGAGGGTCAACTGTGTATAAATTATATAAAATGCTACTGAAAGAGTAGAGGAACAAACAATTTGATAGATACAGCTTAATGTAAAAGGTGATATACTTTACCTAGACCTCAAAAAAAACCCTAGAATTTTAAATGATACAGATAATGATCTGTGAAAATGACAGAAAAGTACAAAATAATAATCACCATCTATAAACAGCAAATAATCTAGGTTGGAAAATGAGACCCATGTTGAGGGTAAAGGTGGAAGAAAATCAGGATGGAAAAGACAATTGGGGTTAGGCTGTAGGAGGTTTTAAATGCCCAGCTAAGGATTTTAGACTTTATTAACAAAGAAAGAAAAGAAACATCAAAACTGCACTTTAGGAAGATTTACAGAATTGCGAAGAATGAATAGGAGTGGCAAACGTGGATTAAATAATAGGCAAAACAGGAAAGTAATAAAGCTGAATGCCTAAACTAAAGCAGTAATAGCAAAAGTAAAGACAAATGAAGCTATTCAGTGAAAAAATAAGTTTAGGTTAGTTCCCTTTGTTATACATGACCTATGGCATTCCATTTACTCTTTTAATATTCATTAGTTGCAGTTATTTGTTCATAATTTTTTTTCCTGCTAGAATGTGAGCTACAAAGCAAGGGCAGTATAAGTCTTATTTATTGCTACATTGGCACTCAAATAACTACTGAATGAATTCAGAATAGACTCTTCCCTAAAACAAAACAAAACTTCTTTGAGGCAAGTAAGAATCTGTTGGGTTCTCTAAATTTGGGAACACTGTAAATTTTTCCAGACCCAGAATTTAAGCCATTGGCAAATGAAAATCCCATTCCTATCTAAAGCCATTACTAGCTGCCTCTAAGCTTGCTTTTCATTCTAATTCCAGAAGCAAACCATTTGCCATTACCTGAAATCTTCTCCATACTAAATTTATGCAGACAACAACTCAACAACCTTAATAAGCACTAAAATATAAATTAAATGGGGAAAAAATTTAGAAGTTCATGCACAAAAAATAGGCTTACAATACCTTAGGGGGATTAAATGGATATGTTTCTGGTATTTTTATCTCTAGCTGATATCTTCCTCCTAAAAAATGGGGAAAACAGAAAGTTAAGAATGCTGCTCACCTCAAATATTTGAAGCCAAATATAGTGACATAACTTTTCAAAACATGTACTATTTTATATTCAATTACAACAAGTTCATTTTAAAGTTGAAACCCAAAAAGGAAATAAAACACTAGTTAATTGAACGGTTATTTAAAACATATAAAATAGCCATTTTATACAACTATATTAGTTTATCAGTGAATAGCTGAGCTAGAGACAGACGAATACATTAAATCCAAAGACAATCTAATGCTTCATTGGGACAGTTAAGTAATACAGATCCCGTCTCCTTTTGTTTCCTCTAGTCCACACTGAGAAAACTTGCTAAATAACAGAAAATATGGAAAAAATAAAAAGGCAAGGAGGTATAAGGGCATAGATGGTACAAAGAAAAAGGACATATGGTTATGTCATAAACTGAAAAAATCAACTTCTAGCTGGTTCTCTCAAATGCAAAAATGCCCCAAGCTTTTAACTCCTGCCCTAATGAAAGGCCAACACTTCTTGTTAAAATTTTTAAAAATAAAATTCAACAATAACAGGTAGGCATAAAGACAAAAAACTATCCACTTCCTCTCAATAGGTATACAAAAGGAAACACTTTACAAGAGGTTGTTCTAACCAGTACTATGTAAACAGAACACAACATTCTTGTTTTGAAGTCATCTTGAGCAACTAGCAGCCAAATACATATTTTTAAAAAGTTTATCTAGCTTCCCGTAACTGGGTAATTCAAGGGGAAAGTAACTGCCACTCAGGAAACTCTGAAGGGGGAAGTCTTCCACTGGATGAGAGGGTGGATTTGAATCCTAACTTCAAGGAACCTTCCAATCCTAAGATTTTATGATCCATTTAACACAGCACACTATTCCAAAACGTAACAAATAAAACTGTACTAGTGAAATACTTACATATGAAACTATGCCTAGCATTTGCTTCAAAATAATGAAGGGATGGATTAGATCAAAGACTGGCCCTAAGCTGATAGTTTATTAAAGCTGGATGATAAGTACACCAAAGATTCATTGTACCATTTGTCTTCTGTATATACCTAAAACTTTTCATAATAAAAGCAAAATAAAGTAAAAACTATGCACTAGCATTATTAACTTCAAAATTTCATAATTCAATTCTCAGTATATCCTGGATTCTCTCAAATCCACCTCCCTCCGTTGTCAGGAACAGATGAATGTGGGGAGAAAAACAAAAGAGGAATTCACTTGGTACCACTTTCTTCAAGCCCTTTCTGGTTCCAATTCTTCTTTTCTTGCTAATTCTTTTTAATGGCATCCTATAGTGACTGATGGAGGAGTTGAACTAGATGCCTGAATCAAAGAGCATTCGGCACCAGTGAAATCAATATAAAGGAAAGTAGTCAAAACAAAAGAAACAAGATAGGTAAGAGGAGACTGAGAAAACCCTGTTTACAGACAGACCTGTTTTTGTTTAGAGTGATAAATGCCAGCTTCAAATAAGTATAATAAATTTGGCCTGAGTAATATGTAGGTTCTTTTTCCTTCCTAAGAATCTTACTTTTTCTGATAAAGTCTAGATTACTGTTTCTATAATTGTTCATATAAAGCTCTTCCTTCTTGGATGTCCAAAACAATTTCTTAGGAGCAGTGTGAAAGCCCAGAAATACTATATAAATAATGCTGGCCCCTAGAATCCCCCCCAACCCTATTTTTACTCCACATGCTATTAATATGCTTTCTTGCCTTATTATCTGACAACTTTCAATATATAACCACCATAACATCAACCATGGCATTATTTGATGTATATATATATATATATACACACACACGTATATACATACACATACACATCAGAGCAACACAACTAAGCTTTATGATAACTACATTATTCATATAAGTTTTCACCACAAATAATTTCTTCTTAAAGAATAGCTTTTTAATGTTAAAAATTTATAATCTTCAAATTTAACTTCATCTAAAAAGAAGATGGGGAAGGGATGAGATTTTTAAAAATATCAACAATTATTCCATAAATTCAAAACAACTCTTAGGAAGAAAGGCTCAAGAACTAAACTGTTCCTTTGCACTATTACAGTAAAAGAAGAAAATGGAGTTAAGTAACACATGCAATATGGTTAATTTTTCCATGGGCATTCTACTTTTCAATCTGATTACTTTTAACACAACGTAAAATAGTTTCCTCACTAATGATTATAAACAGTTTAAGATTCTACATGGAAACACCTGCCTTAGTTACTGAGATTTAAAAACAAAAACTCTCAAAAACTAGCAAGAGCCCTGCAATAAATATTATCAAAATACTTCTCATATTCATGTTTCCAAAAAGTATCTTAGTTTATGCCCTTGAATAGTGCTTTTCCTAAATAAAATGAACAACTTCTCTTCAACAGTTTTACGATAAGAAGGACAATTTATACCCAAAAAGCATATTAAAACTAGTCTTATCAAAACAACCAAAAACTAGTATTATGAAACATTAATATCTCATTTAGTGGCAGCAGCAGAAACACTTAAATATGACCAAACTTGTTTCCAATTAATAAATATGGTATATTTATAACTTAATTATCCTACCAATGAGTACTATCCAATTTTTAAAAATTTACCTACTTTTATTAAGGGTTGCTAAGAAGGTAATGAACATTCTGCCTATCTAACTTAGTTCAGGAGGTGTCTTGTTTATAAATATCAGTTTGCTGGAAGAGTTCTAGAATGATAATGCTACTGCCATACTGTCTTTTAAAAATATATCTGAGCAACCTAAAAAAGATTCAAGAGTATTTATAATGCCTGCCTTTAAGAAGCAGCTGGTGTATCATTCCACACAATATCTACTATTAAGACAAGAACTTGATTTTTATAAGATAACTAAAGATCTTTTTTCCATCTAATGACTGTCAAAAGGACTAAATGAACAGCATCCATGAAAGCATCCAGACAAGGTCTGGCATATAGGAGGCACTCAATAAACAATACAAAATAAAATAATGTCAAGAAATGGCTCATATTAACTATAAAACAGGAAATAAAATTTTATCATTTAAAATTTAGCAGGATATGCTAAAGACATTCTAGGGTCTTTAAAAATTTAAACGAAAACAAAGATATTCTAGAATATTGGATTTTTCTGATGACTTTGGGTTAACTGTTCATTAAGGAATTATAAAACCACCTCATTCAAAGTAGACATAACTACCACTTCCAATATTCAGTCGATCCTCATTTATTTAAAAGCAGAAAGTAATTAGAAACATTGGCTTTGAAGTCAAAGGCTATTAGGACTCAAATCCCAGCTGGGCCACTTAGATGTGTGACCTTAAACAAGGTACTTAATTTCTCTGAGCTTAAGTTTCCTCATTCTTTGAAACAGTGATAACTACTTACCTCATAAGATTTGTTGTAAGGATTAAATGAGAAAATACATGTAAAGTTCTAAAAGCAAGAACTCAATAAATGCTACTACTACTACTACAAATTCGGTTATGATTTCTACTAAGCATGCATTTGAATGCCTATTATACGCAAGAACCTTGGTTATGCTACATAACCCAAATTTACAATAATATTCATTACTGAAGATTTGCCTGATGAGGAAATAAAAAGCTATAAAAAGCTTCTTTCTTTTTCTTACCACCCAATTCCATAGTCTAAAGTTGGCTACAGACTTAGTTTGTGAAAACAAAGTTCAGCAAAGTTGCCTCTTTTCTTTTCTCTGTCTTGAAACGATACTCAAAGCTTTCCTGAATAAAGAAAATTAAGTATTTGCTATTCAGCCTGTGTGAAGACTCATGAATGAATGCAATACTTAATGACAAACAGGGGAGAGGAGCTTTTTTTAAAAAAATAAGTATTTTGTCAGAAATTTAAGGCAAGGTTTGTTATAAATACCATATGAAGGGTAACTGAGCATCTATAGTCCGTATCTTAGAGGCTTAACATGCTAGATGTTTTCTACTGTTAAATTCTAACCTATACAAATTGTAACGGCTCTACTAAATCTATGTTGGGGAAAGAAAAAAATCAGCTAAAATTCAGTAAGAAAAATCAGTCTATATAAATACCTAAATTTATTATTTAAATGTTGTAATATCCTAAGCCAAATGAAGTTAACTTCCATGTAACTTATAGATGCTTAAGATTATTTTGATTTAATGTTTCAGATAAGTTCTAATACGCACAATATTTTGATACAGAAAAAAGTACTTGCCTTCATATGGTGTGTCTGGAGGTCCTGCTATTTCTCCTCTTAATTCTGTAAAATTCTCATCTACAAGATCTACTTTAATTTGATTTTTGCTTGTCTTAAAAATAAACAGAAAATAAATGTTAGTTATATCAGCAAGAAAAAAGCCTATTTTAAAGTATTATCTATAAAAAAATTTGAAACCCCCTCTTTAATAAACTTGATTATCTGCTCTAGTAAAAATAATAGCCTGTGCTTTTCTGGGATTTAATTAGCCAGTTTTAATATTTAAAACCAAAAAACTAACAAATTTTCACTTGTTTTTAATGAAATAAAACCACTTTGAGCAACAGTACAATGGCTTGTTAACATTACTGGAATGTTTAGAGAAAAATAGCAGACACCTATTTTATATTTGCCAACTTCATATATGTTAGGTCCAAAGTGATAAGTCTATTATTCATCTGTAGATGAACACTGCTATACTATACCCCCAGGTTACATGGGTTCTATCCATATAAACAGAAAACTCAGGGTCATCAAAAGCCATGTAGGGTATAAACTCTCACTTAAACTAACCCCAACAACTCTAGATGTTTAGGTTAACTGAAATACTATTCCATCCACCCAGATGGTGAAAACGCTAAGCATCTAACTAATTCTCCTTTCCATGAAAATTCTTGAAGCCTAAAATGCCTCACTAGAATCATCTAATGCCTTCAATTTCTTTTTAGGTTGCTTAGTTTAACCAAAGCTAAACTGCTTAGTTTACTTCAGTGGCAGCTACCTACTTTTCAAAACAGACTGTTATTTTAAATTTATCTACATCTATTTATTTTGCACATTACATTTCTCAAAGTCCTTTCACATCTATAGTATCATTTCAATTTCTCAAACCGTTCTGAGTTAATGGTGACCTTAAATGATTCAGAAAACCCTCCAGGGGGATTTACATTAATGTTCAAAAGTACCTGTCTGCAAACGAGCTCTCCACTTGTATTTTGTAATCTTCAGTAATACCTTACTGGTCTAAAGTTCCTGATACAGTAAACCTTCTCTTTTTCTCAATTGTTAAAAACATAAATCCTTAATATACAAGTTATGTTTTCATTTTTTTGGCTAGGATTTCATATTTCTACCTAAGTAACACAACATATCCACTCCTACAAAAAAAGCCTTGCAAGATATCAATAGTAAATTTTTTGCTTTCAAACCTACCTTTTTAAGCTTGTTTACTGGATGAACAATGTAAGAATTACTGTTTTAAGGTCCATGGCTTCCTCCCCCAACCTCCAACAAGTAGATACCTATTGTTACCCTTTTTCTGTACTAAGTAGTTTGTATTAATACAGAATAAGTACTGAAAAAATATACAACTTAAAACCCAAACTTTAACGATTTCATATGACTTCTAATTAATCTTATCTTTTATAACAATAACATAAGATTAAAAAACTTTACACATTTAAAAAACCTAATTAGGTTTATTTCATAACTTTTTTCTATAAATTTACCTTTGGGATTAATATATTTCATATTTTTCTGAAGTTAATTTTACCCCCAAATTAAAATTAATTACAAATATACATGGGAAACTTCTTCCTGTGCCCTAAAAAATCATTACCATCCTTAGTGATTTGCGGTGGAGGATGAAATATACAATTTTACCAACGATAAAGTACTTTGTCCAGTACACACAGGAATGAATGTTAAAATGAAAATCGGAGGCACCACACTTTCACTGACCAATTTAAGAAACTGCAAGTAGAACTGTAAGACTTCCAATTCTCCTCTGAGAGTTCTAAGTAAAACAAGAGTAATCAGATCTTGCAAATCATCAATGCTTTCAAAGTTCTTTATAGCTTCCCACAATATCCCCTTTCCAAAAGGAAATATATAACCCTAAAATGTCAGGATACTAAAGGACATAATTAAAGTTTTGGGGAGGAAAAAAAGGAGGTAACAGAAATTGGAGAAGCTGCCTTCCAGACTGCCCCCAATTCTCAAGTTAGTAAAATGTTAAATAAACAATTAATTTTATTAGTATTCCTCTGTCCTTATTTCTGTCCTCATTACCCCCAAATTATAGAGGAAAATAGATTTTTTTTCTCTACAGAAAGCACATTACTAGTGTATGAAAAATGTACTAAATTAGCTAAAAAAAATACAATCACCATGATGAATCCATTATAAAGAAGCATCCTATATGGTCTAGATAGAGTAGGGTCTTTATCTGCAGATAACCAAAGATAAAAAGAAAATGGAAAGTTAAAGACAAATTTTTCACAGCTTAATTTTTCCATCACGCAACAATTATCCTTTATTATCTCCACAGTTTAACATCCAGTTACTCCACAATCCAAAATTCTGATCCCAGTGCCCAACAAACTAACTTAAAATCCCACTCAAGAACTATAAGGAAGATATGGAAAATGGCAAAAGATGACAGTATTTAAAAAAGTATGGCCTTTGAAGTCAGACAGATATGAGTTGAATCCAAGCTCTGCCACTTACTTGTGGCATTAATTTAGGTAAGTCACTTAACATCTCTCAATTTTATTACTCTAAAATGAGAATACATATCTCAAATTTAAATGAGAATCTTCTAGAAAGAAGTAGCATAGCTACCCTTCCCCTAGTAATATTAATTATAAAAACCTTTGCTTTCAAAGCCCTACTTTATAAAATTTATTTCACAGCTCTGTTTCTAGTCTAAGTATGGAAATGTTATTTCTAAAAATAAATAACAAAACAATGTTTATTCATTTTAATGACCAGAAACACTAAGGCTTTTGGATGAAACCCTGCAGAATGGTGTTACCACTGTACTGCATTTTTTGTGAGGACATCTGCAAATTTGCTTTTCTATATTTTCTTCTCCCAACTCAACTAAACACACAGTGGGACCTCTGGTAGTCCTGGCTTTTCTGATGTTCCTTTGTGGCTCCAATGCGTTTCTAACACATAAAAGGAAAAGAGATGAATAGAAGCTACAGTTCCTAGTAAACATTTTTAAAATGAACTATTAAAACATAACAAAGTATGCAAAATAGCACAATGTTAAATCTTATCTGGATGTGGTAAAATTAGCATTACTGCTAATAAGCAATAGTGCAGAATTTAAAGCAATTCTAATAAATTTCCAAGGCCAAGTCTCTTGGTGAATTGATATCATCATCACAAAATTTGTCCAAATAATTCCTGGAGTCTACTATATGCCAGAAAGAAATCTCAAGGTTAATGAACAAAACTAAGTCCCTGCCCACTTGGAGCTTACATTCTAGTGAGAAAAACTAAAAACTGAAAGATTTTATCATAAAAGCTCTAAGTACATTGTTATTTAACCTGTTTAAACTAACATGTGATCTCAAGCAAGTTAATCACTCTGAACCTCAGTTTCAACCTCTGTCAACTGGGAATTATAATTTAATGAATTAATACAATATATAAAACAACGTCTGCCACAAAGTAAATGATGAATGTATAGTAGTCATTTAACATTGTAACATGTTGACTTTTGACAATGATGTAGGAGCAGAAAACTTCCACCTAAAGCAAATATTGCATATTTTTTTGAGAACCACTTGTCACATTACTCTCGCTTGTATTTATCCCGGAAATTTATTCTAAAACAAAATTTCAATCTAAATTTCAGATAGACGAATATAACTCTAAATTACCCCTAAAGTTACAGATCATTCTCATATGCTATAAAGAAACTATTAGTTTGTTTCCTAGTCAAATCACAACTACCAAAGTTTAGGGGCACTATTTATCAGTATCATGCAAATAAATGTGAAATTCACTTCTACCTAATTTGTTGGAAATGAGGCTTAAAAGGTTTAAGAGTTGCCATTATTTTCCCCTAACTTAATATGAATGACTTATTTTCCCCTACTATTCTAAGGCTGCCCAAATAAGAAAGATTTTCACTTTCCAAGCAGTTAATAAGTAAAAACAATTCTGAAGCTTGGGGCATGTCACATACCCAAAGCAGGCTGACATAGAAACTAAGAGACCAGAAAGGAACTGAAGCCATGGGAACATTTATGACCCTTACTAAATACAAGTCCTAGATCAGTGCTGTCCAACAGATATATAATAATGTAAGCCACAGGGCTCCTGGGTGGCTCAGTGGGTTAAGTGTCTGCCTTTGGCTCGGGTCGTGATCCCAGGATCCTGGCTCAGCGGAGAGTCAGCTTCGTCCTCTGCCCCTCCCCTCATCCCACTCATGCTCTCTTTCTCTCACTCTATCCCGCAAAAATAAATAAATAAAATCTTTAAAAAAATGTAAGCCACAAACGCACTTTAAAATTTTCTAGTAATCACATTAAAAAGAGTGAAGGTAGAGAATTAACTTTAAATTTATCTCCTATATATAAAATTATCATTTTAACATGTAATCAAAAGAGATATTTTCATTTTTTTAAAAAAAAAGTGTCTTCAAAATCCAGTGTTTAATTTACAAATCACATGCACATTTCAATTTGGACTGCCCACATTTCAAGTGTTCAAAAGCCACATGTGATAGTCAAATCCACAGATACAGAAAGTAAATTATTGAGGGGGCGCCTGGGTGGCTCAGTCATTAGGCGTCTGCCTTCGGCTCAGGTCATGATCCCAGGGTCCTGGGATTGAGCCCGGCATCGGGCTCCCTGCTCAGTGGGAAGCCTGCTTCTCCCTCTCCCACTCACCCTGCTCGTGTTCCCTCTCTCTCTGTCAAATAATAAATAAATAAATAAAAATTTTTTTAAAAAAGTAAATTATTGGTTGTTGAGAGAGGAGAGGGAAGGGAGATGGGAAGGATCTGCTGCTAATGGGTACAAGGATTATTTTTAAGGAGATGAAATGTTTTGGAATTAGTTTTAACAGTTGCACTGTTAAACTTTGTGATATACTAATAACCACTGATTTGTACACTCTAAGAAGTCAAAAAACAGTTTTTAAAAACTTGAAAAAAGGTCACATGTGGATAGTGGCTACAACACTGGACAAGTGCAGCTATAGAGAACCAGGAAATAACAGCTTTTCCAATTACAGCAACAGTCTATCATTAAAATTTTACTTTCTCGATTTCTGTCATCATACTTCACACAATATATAATGCAGAATAATTAA